TTGACCGGAATTGAACCTGGGACCCTTGAGTCCGCAGGCTGATGCTCTATCCACTGAGCCAAACCGGTTAGGGCTGGATGTGAGATCTTAGGCAAGTCACGCGTCTGAGTCACCTGGAAGAACTCACAATCCCTTCCCATTCCCAGACCTGCAATTCTAAGGAGCTGGCTTTTTAGAGCTGCCCTCGCCACCCAGCAAGGCAAATAAATGTCCAGTAACGCCTGCAGCTTATCTTATCTCTAACGTGCCATTACTTCCACAGTGGACATGCAGCTGCCTAGCACCAGGCAGGGAGTACAGCAGGAAGAGAGCACTTAGAGCCACAAAAGTCAACCTCTTTAATCTCTAAACCTCCAGCGGGGGGAACGAGGATGAGCTGCTATAACTAAGGTGTTTGTCTCCATTCCTCCTTCTCCCTTGACCTCTCACCCACCTTCTGATAAAACCCCTCTCATTCATAAGAAAAATAAAATAATCAATACATGTATGTATATCACTTAATATCTCAAGTAGCAGTCTCGCCCCTCTCCACCTCAGCTTCTCACTCTACAGAGAAATTAATACACTGTCTGCTCCTGTGGCTCTTCTTGTATTTGTCTCCATTTTTTCCAATCCCATGTGGTTTATACTATTTTCTGATTTGCAGATTTAGATATTATTTAAGGACTGCTTATTGTGGATGAAGCTCGAGCCCTTTTATACACCCTCAAGTATCTTCCTATAAAGCAAATATTTCCCTAATCCCCAGCTTTAGAGCCAGATCCAGCCGCTCGGCACAGTGACAGCTGAAGCACTGACCACACGTGGCCAGATTCTAGGTCGGCTGCTCCAGAAGTATGTGTGCCCTGCAGCTGCATTCTCCAACCATCCTATTAAAACGATCCTTGTCTGCTATGAAGATGCTAATCCCATTAAAAAATTACTTTAGAATTCCGCAGCAGTCAATAAAACACCTGGTTTGAATGGACCACACCCTACACAACAGGGATTTGGGAAATGGTTCACTAAGTGACCACATAACCCAGAGCCTCTCCAGTGCCAGTTCATTTTCTCTCCTCATTCTGCCCAAGAATCCCTTCCCTGTCGGTTCCAAACCCTCACCTGGAGGGACCTGGGAGGAAGTCAGTTCTAAGTTGGGGAGCAAAGCAGCTCGGCTTATCCACAGAGCTGAACAGCCCAGACCTGAAGCTCACAGGGCCTCCTCCACAGAGACAAAAGCACCACAGAGGGAACAGACTAGTGGGTCTTTCTCTGCCTCTCGTCTCCCCAGCTCGGAAGGGACAGAAGGGAGAAGCTGCTGGTCAGACGCAGCAGTGAGAGTGTGCTCTCAGCAGTATACAGAATGCAAACCTTTGTTGTTGTTTTATGTTCTTTGCATGACTCATCTTACACATTACCAAGTGGCTCAGGCACTGGAATTCCTGGTACCTCCATGTTTAATGCTGGGCACTCCCTTGCCACCAAGGTCAACCATTATAACTGAGGTCTCCCTGGGGTGGAGGGGCTGTGAGAGGGCCGTGCCACAAAGGAGAAAGCGGACGAGAGGGTAAGAAGCAGTGCGAGGAGCCAACAGCTTAGAGTCGGTGACAAAGCCAGGGCTCCGCTCCTCGCTGTAGACTGAGCACAAAACAGCTGGAAACATGGCACGAAGTCACAGATTCCCTCAAGATCACCCCCTTCCAATGGCTCTCCAAGATAACAAAGCAAATCAATAAAGTAGGAAAACCTGTGATTTTACACACTATACAGTCATCCCCACCAAATGCCATCTATAGGGTCTACGACTTAAAGCAAAATGATGTATAACGAAGTCCATTTTACCAGAGGCCATACCAACAATGCAAGAGTGAAGTTCTTACACTGTCTCATCGTCGTTATAACAGAACGACGTTGAATGAAATGCATTACTCTGGGCCTGTTGTATCCGGGGGTCAGATCACCCACTTATTTATTGGGTATTTATAGAGCAAAGCTTTCTAGGGTTGCAGAGACTAAAATAATGAATAACCTGCTTCTAATTGGACGAAGATTCATTCACTCAGCAAATAAAAGAGGAAAGCCAAAAAAGGGGGCAGGCTTTTAAGTGGCTTGAGAAATAAGCAGAGTGCTATGGGACTTTAAACAAGAGAGAACAATCATAATTGGTCGAGGGAGAAATACGAGGGCACATGAACGGATAAACAGCCCAAACTCAGAAAGTCGGAATGGTTGCTAATCAAGAGTCTCTGGTGGCGGTACTGGCTGGAAAGATGTGGACACACACCAGGCTGGTGGCAGTGATGTGGACAGGGGAGCCATGGGAAGATTGTGGAGGCCACAGTGTTGGCCACAGGTGCACAGGCAGGGCAGGTGTGCATACGTGTGTACATGCGTGCACACACTAAGAAGGGCACGAATATAACTGAGCAACTGCAACATGGTTGTACCATCCTGAGAAGTCAGGCAGAGAGGTTGCTTGGGGGTTTAACCATCAGGGCTGGGAAGTGTGAGCAGGGACAGCCCATGGTTGGTGAGCACCCAGGCCAGACAGCTACCCCACAGGGAATTGGGCTGCCCCTTCCTCCACCTCCACTTCATTCCCTAATGCAGAATGTGCATCAATAGACTAACCCCAAGCCATCCCCTGAAACAGGGACCTCCTGGCTCCACCAGCAGAAACAGGATACGCTCGTGGTTCCTCCAGTGACACCTCTACAGGTGTTCCTACACA